TAAGTGGGGTCACCCCACAACCTACACACACACACACACACACACACTCACACTCACACCTATGGGCATCTGGCACTGTCTGGAAGATTTTGACTGACAACTCAGGAGTGGGGCTGGAGGAGGAGGAAGAAGGGCATGACGCTATTCACATCTGCCAGGCAAAGGCTGTGGATGCCTACGAGCCACAGACTCCCACGACAAATGGGCAGCCCGCTGAAAATGTCAACAGTATGAAGGTGGAAAAGCCTATACAATGTTTTTCTGTTCATATAAATCAGGTCTAGGGCCCTTGTGAACAATGTGGTGAGGTGTGTGGAGCATAAACTATGCCCAGGGCCCTTGCTACTTCCTGGTATCTTCTCATCCTCTTCCTCCAGCACAGCCCAACCCCCACACAAGCGCTAGAAACACATCTTGCACTGTTTCATGCTGGGCTTTTCTATGTGCTGGTATTTTTGTTTATTGTAAGAAGTCCTTTTACTTAGAATGCTCTGATTAGCTACTTTATTATTAAAAGCGCACTCTGAAAGCAGTAAATATCCATACAGTTTTAGCTTATCAGAAGTGCTTCAAATCTGGTAAGAAGCAATAGCAGATCTTCACCCCGAACCTCTTTGCCTTTTCACCTGCCTAGAGGAGACAGCATTTGCCCTTCCATCATCTACCTGTTGTTGCTGGACAACTTACTTGTAGCACTGCTTGCTGCCTTGTTGCCCTGTGATCCTACCTGCTGAGTCCCTCTCCTCTGATAACTCCAGATTAGTTAGCCACGGCGCTGATGTCCAGAACATTTCAAGCCCAGCACAAACCCGATTAATCACTTCCATTCTTCCTGGATGATACATTGGGGATCATTACTGACCCTACTTAGACAATTTTTATTAAATTATCAATATTGATGTTAGTAGAACTAGATAAATGTAACCCACTGCTGAAACAATACCCCGTGATGATCTTGCTTGCAGTTTTTGTCATTAATTGACACTTTAAAAAAATCATTTAATCCTCATTAAAAGATCATCAATACCCCAGAGAAGCCTGTGCTGCCAGGTGGAGTTGATTTCCACCCCTGTGTTATCCCTGCTGGGAGGACTTAGAGATCTGTGCATCTGTCTCTGAATCACAAGCCCTCGAGGTTCTTGAGGTCAGGGATTCTGCCCTTATCTCTAAACCCACAGGCTCTTTCACAAGAGCTACCCATGGCTTAGTACAGGTGGCTGAGCTACAGATGGAGGAGGAGCCTTTAGTATGTGGTACACAGCTCTGAGAGTATTTCTCTGGTTTTCTGAGTTTCTCTGACTGATCACAACCTCCAAAGCCCATGACAGTCTGGAAGTTAAGGGACAGGAGCATGGCACACTTCTGTATAGTGTCCCTGACATGTAGAGGCATTGCCTGATTCTTCTTCCAGCCCAGCATCATGAGGGAAGCCTATGCTACAAGACGCTGATATTTCCACAGAAGCAAAACTCCAGGCTTAATGTGATACACTTGGATTCCACTTTTAAAACTGTGCAGGCCAAGAAAGTAATTCTCCAATACAGATCTGATCATAGTTATGGGTTTAGGAGCTAGAGATGGTGAGGGAGGTGCAGGGTGGGGTGCCCAGCGCCCTGTTTGCCTGGGTTCTGGCTTGGAAGAAGTTGCCTCTCCCAGCCCTTTGATCCACCTCTGGACACAGTGGCTTTGTTCTGCAGTGAACATCATTATATGGAGTGAGCTTAGCAGAAGGTAGCTGGACTGGTTTCCACAGAATAGGGGAAGGGGAAAACAGTGGGTTAGACTTGAAAGTGATAACAGATGAGAGAACAGCTAAACCAGAACTGTGCAGTGTGTGCAAAGCCAAGGGCCTTTGCTTATGAATCTTAAGTTCTGTGGTAATCTTCAGATCTTGCCACCTCCTACTTTCTAGATGTTGAGTCTTTATGAGAACTCGAGGATTTTTTTCCCACCCTTCCTTCTTCCCTCCCTCCATCCCTTCTTTTATTTCCTTCTCTCCCTCTTTCCTTTTTTTTTTCTTTCTTTGTTAGAGAAAGCTTTATGAAAAATGATTATAGATAAGATTTTAGAAATGAGTCAAATATGCTTTCTTACTTGCCACTAGAAATTGTGAGTAGGATTATTGAAATCAAAGAGTGTTTCCTTGTTTGGTTGGTTTGGTTTTTGCCCATTGTGTTTTTTTGTTTGTTCGGTTGGTTTTGTATTTTTAAATGGGATCTACAGGGTCTTACTACACATATTGAACTTCTGGTGATACTCCTGTTTTTAGCTTTCCAAGTGCTGGGAATGCAGGCAAGCACTGGCTCAATGCACACTGGGGGCAGGGCCAGCACAGCACGCTGGGGATCGAACTCCAGTCCTTGCACCTGCCTAAGCAGGCGCTTTAGTCCGTGACCTATATGGCCCACCCACCCATTATGTTCTGTGTTAGGTATCAGAATTAAAAATATGAGTAATATAAAATTTCTATGCTTGAGAAACTCAAAATGATTGCTTACTTCCATTTGTTCTAAGTATGAAGGGAGGGGCAAGTGTTATGACATATTTTTTAATGTACTTAGTACAGGTCTACAGGGTCTCACTACACAGATCAGACTCATAGTGATTCTCCTGTTTTTCAGCCTCCCAAGCATGCACCGCCACACCCAGTCTCAGTCACAGTCCCAGCATGCCCAGGGGCAGGGCCAGCATGGCAGGCTGGGGATCAAAAAACCCAGCCCCTCCATTAGCCTAAACAGGCACTTTAATCCACTGAGCTATTTGGCCAGCCTGAAGGTGTTTATGATTAAATTTGTAATAATCAAGAAATTTGGTGGCCAAGTTTTGATTACAAAAAATATATATGAATTACTAATTTCTCTCTTATTGCAACAAACGAAATATAGTGTTAGAAAAATTAGAAAATTCAAATGTGAAAAAAGATTAGGGTAAAGTCTTGTAACCAATATGAGGAACTATTTACTCACTAAGTGATTATTTACACTTCACACACATATACAAATACACAGACAGGTCATGGTAAATTGCTATCAAATAGTCTGTTTTCCTAGAAATGTGTAGCAGTGCTCCTTTAATGTCTGAACACAGTTTTTTCAGCTGAATGGCATTTTTGAAACTCTGCCCACTTCAAAATAGCATTGTATGGCACACAGATAATCACATATATTTAATTAAAACCCTATTGTTAGATGTTCAGGTAATTTCTCATTTTTTACCCCTTATGCCATATAGTGAGATTCTGCAGCTAATCCTCAGATCCTGATTTATTTCCTTAGGGAAACTTACTGGCAATGTAGTTGTTGAATTTAAACAGGTGTACATTTTTTGTTCTGTTTTTGTTTTCATGTTCTGTGTAGGGCTAAGTTGTCCTTCAGAAAAACAACACAGTATTACTCTCCAAAGTGGCTCCAAATCCCTTTTCTCACCTCTATGTCCAGTGCCAACTCTTCCTGAGGATCTTGTCCAGTTGAATAATATCAAGACCTTTCTTGAAAACTCTTGACTTGGGGACTGGGGAGATGGTTCAGTGGAATAAGTGCTTCCCTGGCAAGCTCAAGGGCCTGAGTTCAATCCCCGGTTCCACCAAAAAAA